CCACCCCCGAATTCTGTCTTCCCGGGGAAATAGGCAGAGGATTGCGTTAATCGGCACCTAATTTTGCGCCGAGCGTGTCTTGCGTGGCCGGGCGGCTTAGGGCTGATCTCCCTTCCAAATAAAGCAGCGCCTCTATTTATGGCCGCGGCTTAAAGAGGAGCAGATCTCGTGTAGCGCGTTGGAAGTTCTTGAAGAACAGCCAAAGTACAGAGGTCAAGTTTCCTGTACCAAAAGCAACTTAATGGGACGCAAGACGGCAGCGTCCATCGTGAGGATCTGGCGGTGCCTGGAAAACTGGGTCACTGCGCATTTTTTTACTAATCGCTGGGTTCAAAATAATAAATTACTTCAGCGTATTTCTAAACAGCTTGGAGGCTAGAGAGGACCTGCTTGAAGGCCTCTTACTGCTGCAGCCGTGGGAGCCAGCGGGAGCATTGCCAAGGGGTTCACGTCGGAAAGATGAGGGTCAGGCCCCCAATATTGCTTGGTAGATGATATTATGAATAAGAAAATATGTAGTTGTCCTATCCACTGGGATTGGACTCTTCATTAGAAATTAAGGGACGAGGTAGGCAATATGATTGTTTTGCAAATTTCCCCGGGGTCTGCTTTTAAGAAATTGTAAAACTCCTTCACGATGCCTTGCCCAAAGCCAGTGCTTTCAGTAGCTGCCGTTGTGTAGAGGCGGCAGCTCTCAGGAGTTTTACAAGGAGTTGTACGCAAATAGACTCTGCCAGCGTGCCCGTGAAACGGCCTATTCTTGGAAAAGCTTACATGGAAGGATTTAATGTTGACAGACTTAAGTAGTGATGTCTCAACTGTGAAGAATCTGTTGTTTAACCAACTTTATGAAGCAAAAGTGCTTATCATTAAAGCAAAAGTATTCCCTTTCATTTTAGGAGATCGTGGAGGCTTTAAACATCAATGCAATTTGATATGCACATGATTTGATAGTCTGTTTTATACGAAGTTGATTAGAATCAGAAAAATCACCCTTCCGAACTCCAGCAGAAGGGGGCAATGCAACATGGGCAGATCTAACGGCCTTAAAATGGAAAAAGGATTTATATAGTGGCAAGCTGGGCAATGGCTCTTAAAACTACTGTATTCTTCTAAACACTTTTACGTTATTGGTGACTTGGTAAGTTATGATTCACTGCCATTTGATGTTAAATTTACTGTCACAAAACATTAGTGCTCACCGGCTGAAACCAGAAGGATGTTTTTTTTAAACTCTTGGGTGCTGAGAGTTGTCTAAGAACAGGCTGTTACCGCCTGCAGAGAGCGTTTTGTCATCAGGTGTTCCCAGAAGTGTACGCTTCCTTCTTTCCATTTTTGCCAAGACTTTAATACAAGCATGATTTTTTTTTTACATTCATAAAACGTTAGCTGCTTCATGTCTGTAAGGCAGAGAAGGCCAAGTATGACTTTTCTCACCAGCTGGGACAATTTTAGCAATAGTAATCAGTTTAATTCCCCAGCTTGACTCAAACCACTGCTATTTACACTCCTATTGTGTAGTGATATCCTCCCCTGTTTAGGTGCCCAGGTTTAAAATTTAACTACATCCACCATGCTGGTTTTTCTTCCTAATGACTTCAGAGGACATGGCTGAAAAAGTAAGCAAAAAGAAAGCACGGTGGTATCGCTCCTGCATCGTGCTCGGGAGGCGCAGCTCAACGGGATTACATGTATTATTAGGGTCCTGATCCCCCAGTCCTCACTGAAGTAGTAACTTTTGTGGGAGCTTTGCCAAAGGCTGAGTGGGGGCAGAAGGCTGCAACAGTTGGCACTGAAGGAGCAAGATGTCAATTGCCTTGTGATAATGGGAGTTTTTCTGCCAAATATTTAAAGTAGACCCGTACGATTTGTCTCGGTGGCTTTTAGTTGGTAGCAATGTCTGGGAGAGAGGGGTCAGAGATGTCCCACGGTGGCATATTTTAAGGATATATGCCCCTTCTCCTAAATGCCTGTGAACGAAACACAATCGGTTGTGGTGGGATGCAGGTCTGCATTGATGAAGCGATCTCCTGCGATAACCCCGTGAGGTGAGAGGGACGGGACGGCACCCACCACCCTCCCTTCCCAAGTTACAAGTGCTCGCACCTTAAGCGCTTGCTCTTTTTACATAGCTCTTCCAGGTGAGGTCATAAATATAGACAAGAACAAAGTCTACTATATAAATGAAAGCAGATTTATAAAATTACAAGTTTAATAGATAAATATAATAAATACTTTATGCATCATAACTCTGGACAACTACATTTAAAGCAAGTATGTTGGCAAGTCACAAAAAAGTTGCGCCTCAGCAACTTTATTTTTCATAAAACCACACTGACAGGCATATTACAATGTTACGTATGAGGCTTTATGCTGCAAGTATGTTCAAATCCCGCTCACCTACCGAGTTCACCATGACATATATATGGGTGTAGTGTACTTTCTATTTTGGAATGTCTTTTTGCACACCAACACGGTCGTACAGATAGATGTTCTACTTACCAAGGACAGTGGGGAAGAGTTTTGAAGAAAAATACTGGTAAATGACTTCTAGAAAAACTAAAGCATTTCTTAACTTTTTATTGACATTGGCAAATTAAAATAGAATAAATTAACAATATTTTCTCAAAAAAATGTTTTGTACAAAAATACTGTCAAAATTTCCTGAAAAGCTTTCAACACAGTAGTATCTTTTCATGTACTGAATAAACTATATTAGCACAGTGTCAAAATGCTGAAGACAGAAACAAAATGAAAAAAAAAAAAATCTCGTGAAATGTTTGCCACTAGTCAACATTCCATCCACGCCATATTATCGTCTGTACACGTGGGGGAGGGGGAATGGGTAGCAGACTTTTTAAGTAACAGTATTACTTTTCCTGATCGGGAAAGGTTTGGCCCACATCTGTTAAGCTTCCAGTTTAGCGTATCCGACCAAAAAAAAAAAAAAAAAAAAAATTATTATTAGTCTGCACTGCAATGCATAGTTAAAAATTAAGCAAGATGGCAGCATTTGTGCAGTAGTATCTGCCCTTCAAAGTTCATGCAACCAACTAATGCAATTTTTTTCCCTGTTCGCTCGGAATTTGAATGCAGTTCAAGTCACTGGAAATCATCGTTTACAAAATCCACACGATTATGCAATTTGCCAAGATTAATATCTAACAGTTCAGCACTGTGGGAATTACGGGCACGTTACTGCGAGGAAATTAAGAGAGCAAGGAGGGGAGGGGGGCGACCAACATAAAAAGGCAGAGTTCGCTAGAAATGCTTACTACGGGAGGGGACGTGAATGTCAAATCTACCAAAAAAAAAAAAAAAAAAGTGGCAGCGATTTAAGAGAAAAAAAAAATAAAAGAAAATTTATACAAGCGCATAGTTGACTCTGCTTTCCAGATTCTCACCTTTTCAAGCCCTGAAAAGTGAGACACCGTGTCTAGGGGAATGTTTTCATTCGCACCGATAGAAAGTCCTTTGTTTGTTTTAAGTGAATCAGCAGCTCACCCTGCTGGGCTGCTGTTTGCAAACGAAGTCTGTCATGAAGTCAAACTCGTTCTGTCCCAACCACAGCTCGGGAAGCTCCTTGATGCGATCCAGCCCCATTTCGATGACTAAGGACATGAGGACCTCCTCGTCGATGAAGTCAGTGTCTATGACATTGGGCGGCAGCATTGCCGCGGGGACG